GCGCCTAGGATTCTTCTTTTGATTCTTTTCTCGGTCATGAAGATATAAAGAGAAGGGAAAAGATGATACGTAAGTGTATTTCGATGATGCAAAATGGGCTAAATGTGACAAGCGACTTTCATTTCATGCTGCAATAAATCGACATATAGTAATTTTGGCAATTTCGTCTTAAAGCAATATTGGTTTGGACTTGCGCAGGAGTGCAAACGATTATAAACAAATCAAACATCCTTGTACTCAAGTTTGTTTAATTATTTTGACTAATTTGAAATTTTATTCAAACTTGATTTTGTTTACTTCTCGAGTAGAGTTCGAACGGAGTTTTATTTAGTCGAAGTCAAGGTCGAATAGCTTAAATTTTTTACACATAAATTTCACTTTTCTGCTAATAGAGCCGACTTTCACAGTTCATCAAATACAAAATACCGTTTAAATTTGGTTAAGTTTGGCTTCATTAGTTATCAAATCCAACTTGCATGAACTCTTGGAGAATAAATATCTCAATTCGAGTATAGAATAATTTTGTTTGTTTTAAAGTTCTGGACTCGCGTGGTCCTCCTACATTTCATCGACTCTCAGGATCACGGTTAAATCATCAGAATAGCTACTTAAACACAGGCATTGATAGAAGATGAAAGCGTAAGATAAAACCATTGAAGAGCCATGACTTCAGCTTTGGAGGGAGTGAAGAGGACAAGAAGTAAACATCTAAGAAGTTTCTTCAGCCTTCAGAACGTGGTCACTGCTACACTGGCTAGCAAGCGATGTTACAATCTTATCTATTTTGTTCACAAACACCATCCATTCTTGGAGCTCCTAGCCAGCGTCAAGGCAACTTTTCTGTTTTCCCTAAACTTAGTATCATGAATTATGAACTGAATCCACTGACTGGACAATATTACACTGCATTCCTTGCGAAAAACAGTTGTTGGAAATGATCACTGGAATTAGAAAAATTCGGATGGTCAGCTTCAGAGACGATGTACAGCCTGCGAATTTGATTTTAAATCTCCCATAACATTTCCACCGGGCTTAGTTTGCTGCGATGAACAACTTTGTTGGGATCAAAATGATGTGTACATTTTTTGTTCTGTTGATCAGGTTAGGGGCCATAATGTACAGTGCCAAGTAATTATCATAATGTGTTGGTACTAAAAAGCTTTGAAATAGCGTAATCTAGAACTCGGGAGAAGACGGGGCCAAATGTTACGTTGGATTCGGTGCGAATTATAGCCCGACGTGGCTGAAAACTTTACCGGTTTCACTGTCCTGTTAAAACCCAAGCATGTACTGTGGTATTCACTTGATGATGCTGTTTACTTGTATAATTTTGTCTGCAAGTCCAAGAGCCGTGAAGAATAATGAACATTCGTCCTATTAGTCACAGAATTTGCCGCGAAGTTTCCTTTACCCGTACAAAATTTTGGATGTCCTGCTTATATAAAGTAAAGGGCACTATCAGCAGAAGGTGCAGGAGATCAAGAAAACAGGGAGACTAAAGAGTTCGAGCGAATCAACACAGCAGCTAGCAAGCTAGAATGGCAATTTTGGAGATTGAGGAGGAAGTATGCAGCAGCCAAGCATTGCCTCTTCTCTCGTTGAATCATGTTTCACTGGTGGTAAAATCTGTTTGGGCTTCCGTCAGATTCTATGTTAATGTATTGGGCTTTGTTCTCGTCAAACGCCCTTCTTCTTTTGATTTCCATGGAGCTTGGTTAGCAATTCAGAACCAATTATCTCTGTCTCTCTAATCTAATTTCTACTCGTAACTTTTTTCTTTTTTTTTTCCTTCTTTAAATGCTTGTTTTCTGAGTTCGCATTTACAATTGACTCGTCGATGATGTAAATTGGCTGTCTAGGTTGTACAATTATGGTATCGGCATTCATCTCATTGAAAGAGACGCCATGGATTGTGAGTACCAGACCTCAATTGAACCGCGTCGCATTGATCCAAAAGATAACCACATTTCCTTTCAGGTAAGAAATTATAATGAAGGGTCCTTTTCATTTTTTTTCGCTCTCTCTTTTTATTCCCATCCTAAATTTGCAATAAGAAGGAAGAACAATGAAATTATTATGTAAACAACCATTCAATTACTTCCCTTACACACACACACACACACACACACACACAAACAAAAACACATTTTTGTTGTTAACTTGGAGGCATTTTGAATGCATGCAGTGCACTGATGTGAAGCTCGTGAGGAGGAGATTAGAAGACATGGGAATGAAGTACGTGACCGCAGTAGTGGAGGATGAAGGGATCAAGGTTGATCAAGTGTTCTTCCATGACCCTGATGGCTATATGATTGAAGTTTGCAACTGTGAAAATCTTCCAGTCCTTCCAATCTCTTCACCCTGCCCCTTCAAGCCAAATTTCAGCAGTGTAAAATACGACAAGATGGGAGGGATAACAAATTCATGTGCTCTAGTCTTGGAGACTATCATGATGGAGAGCTTGACCACGGAAATGATGAACTTTTCCTTCTGAAAATCCATGGATGAACCTGGTCTGCTAGCTCTCTCTCTATCTCTTGCCAATGCTTGTTCGTTCCCTCTTCATAAAAGGGATCAATTTCAAGTTGACAAATCTCTATTGCACCATATGATTAAGATGTGAGTCATGTAAGGATATTGGTTGATTTCTATCTGTTTTGTAAGATTGAGGTGATACACTTTTTTACATGTGTACTGCATGAAACATTTGGTTTAATCCTTCCCGCTCCAGGAACTAAACATGTAAAATTATGCATAACGATTATAAATTTGTGTCTTTTTTTTTTTAATTATAAAGCTGTGTCAATTAATTATATCAACAGTCGGAATGGAATAATAGAAGATACGCAGCCATTGAGAGTCTGCTAAGAAGCTTCTAGCCAAAAACTATGTCCTGGCTTTGTATATTTTCGTTACTCTTTATCAATCATTTTCTTGGTGAGAATTGCGCTTGCAGGTTTTACTAGCCTGTTTGAGACTTTCGGTAGTGCATTTTCTTCTCCCAGGATTGCTTCTTTTTTTTTTAACGCAATGGCACATCTAGTCTAACCTAACCGACTCCTACTCCTAAAGGGGAGAACCTACTCTACTCTATGGGGTGGCCCAACTGAGTGGGGGAGTGAGGAGAATCTGACGGGGACTAAACTATCATCAGACCACTCGTATAAATTTAGAACAAATATCATATTAAGGCGCATTGATGGGAGGTCAAGGATTCAGGGAGGCAAGGTTTGAATCCTTGACCTCCCACCCCACAATTAATGTGGTGGCCAACTCATTTAGAGGGAGTTGGTAATAATAGCACTCTAGTTTTGCCTTGGTTGTTTGTTGTTAGATGTTTAGATATTGAAATATTAATTGTGATCTTTATCCGTTTATCCCCGTGGTTGTGTCGCCTTGTCTTAATTAGCTGATGCATCACTCATATCTTACGTCTACGCGTTTTGTTCCTTACTTTAGTTTTGAGAATGAAAAGAAAAGGAATTTTGGACAAAGATTGAATTGAATAAGTTCTCAATCCATAGATTGAGGTCCAAAATAGTACACTTATCACGAGCTTCTAAGTCCCAATTGAAATCCACTGGGCTCCATGTAACCAGCCCACCACTGCTTCAATGCATGTGTTTGGTGAAACTTGTGATTGATCTTTGATATATCATGAAAAGTTTGGCAAAACCTGGTGTTTTCCTTCCAGGCATAGCTGCTGCATTTGGGTGCGCATAATGGCAACAAATGTATTCATTTTCATTAACACGCAAAAGCCATCGATCGCTTCATTCCTGCAATCATCAAGGTTGCAGCTGGATCATTAATCTTGATTATCATCAATACAAGAAAACATCGTCATTACCCTCTTCCAAACAGATTCAGTTTTATCCCATGTCTCTAAAGCTCATAGCTAATGAAGCTAACAGATGAGCGCCCCCACATATGTCCCTTCTTTAGCCAGTATTGAATTATTGATCAACTGCTAAAACATTTTTGTATATTCCCGCTACAGGTGCTAATCAGTTTAGGAGGGAGCAAAATACAGCAATACTAATTGCAAAGTACATGTTATACAACATATGAATGAAACAACCTGTTTTGCACTTGAGTTTTTTTGTCAAAAGTTTGTCTGCTACAAGTTTTTTAAAAACTTTAGTTATAGTAACCTTCAAAAATTTTGAACTATACACTTCAAAATATTCAAAAATTTACACACTTCAAAAATTTTTTTAAAAACTTCTACAGTAAGTTACAGTAAAGTTTTAGACAAACACCCAAAAAGCTCACTTGGGAAGCCAGATCAAACATGCCATGCTGAGAATGAGAGCTGGGGTAAAGAAACTTAAATCTCTTCCTCCAAATATCAAGGGTGTGGGAGAAATTTTTAGGTAGAGAAGTTATCAAAATGATTTTGCGGATCAAAATAGGTTCATTTTTTCAATATGTTAACCTATATATATATATATATTAAGCTGATCTTATTTATACAACTAACAAGACGACTCTAATTGCAATATATAAATGCTCCTCGCCACTAAATAATCACTCGTATTGTTATCTCTAAGAACTTTACGTACAAATTAACTACTTGGATATGACTTGAACACTTGATCAAGAACCAAAATGAGCCATTTCAATTACGAAGGACTTGAAAACAATAACTTGGAAAAGGTGAGGGACTATTCTCCAATTATCCAAAGGAACTCTCTCTTCTTCTTTTTTTTCATTTCATTCTCCCTTTCTTCCCCAAAAAAAAAAATGAAAGAAATAATAATATATGTTGCGATTTAGGGGATCCAAAAAGTAAAAATGTGTAGCAGCAGTAGAATGAGAAAGCGTCGACCAGATGATCCGGTGTAGGACATGGGCCAGGGCTTAGATATGTAAGTGGTGGTCGAGAATTAATCTGTGGGAATTTCCACGGCTCCCAGCCCCACTACCCCTGCCCTGCCCGCACCCCTCCTTTTGATTCTGTGGCCACGCTCTGCCTGAGTTACACACAGCCCCCCCACATTTCTGTACTATTTGTCGTTGTTCCTTCCTTTCCCTTTCTTAAATTTCTGGAATTTCCCCCATCTTTCAGTGGTCTACTCTCTACAAAGAGACACTTGGTCGGTCGGTCCAGGTTAACTACTGTTTGTTTGTTGTTTGAGATCCTCGTTGGTTTTTTGGTTCACTGATCCTCAGTCCCATCATTGATCATATCCCCATTTAATTTATTGTTCAGGTTCACCCATCCGCCCACCAATCTTCTTCAATCCATCATTATTATTGAGACTGTACTACCTCAGCTCCACCTCCACTGTCTCCCGCAATCTCACCACCATTACAGAAAATAAAAAAAACAACGCGATCACCATGGATATGTTAGTGTAATAGTACTTCAAAACTCAGCTTGATATTGGGCTCCATAAGAAGGGTTGGTGGGATTCTTGTGTTTCTTGTCTCAATCAGTCTTTAAGCCCCCCAGGAGACTATATATATACATATTTGGTTTCCTTCTTGATTCAGGAGTTTTTTGTTTTTAAAATTTTTTTGGTTTAAATGTGTGGGACTAGCATAACTAATATTGTGGTATCGAAGAGATGAAGTATGCGGACGCTGTGTGACGTGTGTGAGAGTGCTGCGGCCATCCTTTTCTGTGCCGCCGATGAGGCTGCTCTTTGCCGCTCCTGCGATGATAAGGTCATCTGTGTTTTACACTTTCATTTTTTGTTTCTCTTTTCATTTGCTTTCTAGCTTAAAGTTTAAATTTTTATAGGTAATTGTTGTACTATCATCGCATGATAGAAAGTTCATTGTTTACATAATTAAACCGAAGTCCATAAGGAAGTTCCCGGATTTAAGATGCCTGTTTTATTTGGAAGCTCTTGTTTTCGTCCAGTTACTGATATGTTACTTATTCAGTTTATTAAGAATTTACTTTGGTAATTTATTGACAAAATTGTTTCTTAGGTAACAAGTTTTGTGGGTTATGTATGCGGTTGTTTTTTTCTGTTGTATTTAGTTGAGGAAAGTGTATTTAGTCGAGAAGGGGGAGAGCAGGAATAATGATCAAACAACCACCTCCTTTTGTTCCTTTCTGCAACCGTGCACTTTTGACGAGTGGACGAGTCCCAACTTGCTACCGTAGGATTTTGATAGAACCTCCTGCTTGGCGCAGCCAAAGAGTTGGGAAAGTTAATGGCCATTTGTCTATTTGGCTGCAACAAAGGAGGAAAATGGCCATTAGTTTCCCCAGCTGTTTAGCTGCCATGGGGGACGTTCATCCCCTTGTGGGCTGGGGCTGTAAAAATTTTATTATCGCCAGTAAAAGGACTTGTCTACTTGTCTAATGTGTATATATTGGAGAGTTGCAGAAAAGAGAGAACCTTATCAATAGGAGGAGAAGTTTGAAGATTAAATTGCTTGGGTTGAAGTTGAAGCAGATCCTAAAGTCCACTATTCTAATGATGAAGAGGAGGAAAAGGACGAAAAACTATTAAGTGATTAGGGAGAGTCTTGGTTGTTGAACTTCATATGAAGATTATTAGAGATAAGCGAGAGTCTTGGTTATTAAATAAACATTGTTAAACTCCTCTCCAACATATACTTAAATGTGTTATATATCTGTGGTTGCGTGATGGTAGCAGCAGTTCTATGATCAGTCTATGTTTATCAGCATGTTTCATGGTTGTTTTATTATATGTTAAGACTTGGAGGCTGATTGACTGTAGTAATTTATTAATGCGTATTCTTATTTTCAATTGTGGAAAAGGAAAGGAATGTCTGTTGGTGGATTAACAGCCAACATTTAGAATTGGATTTGTCTGATTTGCTCAAGGAATCAGTTGTGTTATCAGAAATACAGTGCATTTAGGTTAATAATCTGTTTAAGATTGATTGGGTGAGATATTGAATCTCATAGATCAAGTTGGGTCCATCACTCTCTGCACCTTGTTTCATCCCTACAACACTACAATCATAATCAATACAATGACGTAGAGATTGCCTGTTTGTCTGTGGTGTGCCATGTGTCCTAGTTGCAGAACAGAAAAGATGAGCTGAGGAGGTAAAGCATCAAGAAGAACATTTTGGCTGTGGTTGTGTTCTGTAGAGAGTTACTCACTATGGCATTGACTACCCTAGGCCCTCTTGTATCCTTTTTGTCTCTTTGTGGTTCTCATATTTGCCAGATGGTGCATGTAAATCAGATAGTCTCATCTCACTACCTGGGTTGGGACTTATTAAATGCTTTTTGTCTTGCTGGTTTCACTGTCTATGTCAATTCTGTGGTGGAAACCAGCTGTTAAAAATCATTGGCATATTAAAGCTTTTTCACATGTAAATATCTTCAGCCACCTACAATTCTCTTGGATCTAATCCTATATTGGTAGAGTCTAAAGGAACACAAATCAAATTATTAATCAACACAAAACCAATAATATTATATTAGGAAATTGGTTAGGTTACAATTTTTACTATAACCTGTTACGTATAATGGAAACCAAATCTTTGAGTTTCTGCTGATTTTGGCATTAGGACATCCATTCCACAATCAAGACTAGTTGCAACTTGGTCATAGCGAGCACAATATTGCTTTGCAGAAAATTTAGTCTTTGCAATCCGCACTATCTGTTCATTGTTTTTGCATACTTTTGATTGCTATTCACTTTTTAGTTTACTAGCTGCATGCGTCAGAATATCTTAAGACTGTACTCTTCATGGTTTTATATGATGACCTTTGACCAGAAATCCTAGTAACAGGCTATGGCATTTAATCTTTTTAATTTTGGGCACACTATCTAAGATATTGTAATTTGGGATTTCAGGTTCACATGTGTAATAAACTTGCTAGTAGGCACGTGAGAGTTGGGCTTGCTAATCCTAGTGATGTTCCTCAGTGTGACATATGTGAGAATGCACCTGGTATGGAAATTTTTATATTTTTGGTTATCCACTAGTATCTCTCCTGTCTTCATGGACTGTTATTGACAATTAGACTTTTAATCCTTATTGGATTGTATGTCTAGCATTCTTTTACTGTGAGGTAGATGGAAGTTCTCTCTGTTTGCAATGTGATATGATTGTTCATGTTGGAGGTAAAAGAACACATGCAAGATATCTCCTTTTGAGGCAGAGAGTTGAGGTTTGGCACTCTTTGCTAAATAGATTTTGGTTGTTTTACTTGCAGTTACTGAAATCCCCATAAGAACTTTCTTCTTGTTATTTGGCATATAGTTTCCTGGAGATAAGCCTGCCCGTTTAGAGGAGCCAGCTACGCAAACCCTAGATCAAGGTGAAAACATGAGGGAATATGGTCCGTCATATAAACTAGTGGTTGGAGATAAACATCAGAATCACAAGGTCCCTTCTATTCCGATTTCAGATGGCAGTACTGATGGGCATGCCCAGGTGGAAACTCAAATGATAGATTTGAATATGAAGCCAAATCGCCTACATGGTCAAGCTTCAAAAAATCAGGTCAGGTTAATTTCACTAATCAATAATCTGTATCTTTTTCAGTTTAATCTGCAATACCAGTGCAAAGGCCTTTTTAAGTCTATACACTTTCATGGCTTCTCGGAGGTGATAAAATTGAAACAAGTTTCATGATGTTTGTTTATGAATGATTCTACTAATGTTTGCCAACTGTCTTGAGCAACAGCATTCTGTTTCTTAGACATGCACAATATTGTATCTGAAAGTATTCGATAGATTTTTGGTATTATGGGAGTGAACAGAATTGAGTAGATAGAGTGAAGAACTCTTGAAGCATGTATTTCTTGAGCTACAGGTATATGTCGAATATTATCTGAGAATTCAAATTACAATTCCTTTCTTCCATTCTATTTGTAGTCATGCTAGTAACCCTGCAAAATTTTTTGCACATTTATGACATGCAAAATGTGGCCTGTATATATGCTAGAAATTAGTGTCACAATTTTTGGAGGGAGGTGGCAATATATGCTAGAAATTAGTGTCACAATATATGCTAGAAATTTAGTGTCACAATTTTTTGACACTATTAGTGTCACAATTAGGAGGGAGGTGGCAAGACACTAGTTTTGGAAAGAGCAATGCATGTCAACCAGGACATCAGATTTCGGTTTTGAATTTCATGAAAGCTTCAAGTAAATTTTGCAAAATGGAGAATTTGGAGACCAACTGTTTCGTAGTAGTAAATCAAATTTCTGTGCTTTAGTGTTACAAAAAAATGAAATCCAGTCATAATTGCTCAAAATGGATTCTTCTGTTTAGAAGAGCCAGATCTTTGAATTTTGTCAATTTTATTGGAGAACTTTCTTACTATTGTATCTAATGGTTGGTAGTTGACCACATGTCTTCTCAAGCATTGCCATATATATGTCTTATGTTTAACAGGAATTGTAGCTGTGGAAGATCGTTTTTCTGCTGAGGATGGGCTAAAGCAACTCAAGACCATATAAGCACAACGTCCAAGCTTATTTCTACTGTTTTGCGTGCTTCTTACTTTTGTTTTTGTTTTCTTTTAATTTCCTCCCTTGATGACATTCCTGGCTCTACTTTTGTCGAGATCTGACTATGTTCTTAGAATCTTGAAAAAGATTTGCGAATGCCACTAAGGAAGTAGATTATATCAGACTACATAATGGGTAGATTAGTGATTTTGTTAAAGAAGACATGGCTTATCATCAAGTGTAATTTGACATTTGTATCTTGTTTGCGGTTACAGATATGTTAGAGAGACAAAAGCACGAGATACTTGTCTCAAGTTGCCTGCTGCTTTAGTGTATTTTAGGGAAATAATCTCTTTGGGCAGTCTTTTAAGTTTATACTATTGGCCCTGGCCTTTCAGCCAATTCGTGTCTCAAGTTTGTTTTCCCCCGTTGGATAAGAATTTTGGATGAATACTACTAGGGGTGAGCAAATTCGGTACATACCGAATTCATAATCGAATTCAAATTCAATTTGATGATTTGAAATCGAGTATTTGATAATTTGGTACAAATTCGGTACGTACTGAATTCATCGAATTCTAATATGGTATGAAATAGGTAATGAGATTATGAATTTGGTAATAATCGATTTCACATTCAAATTCGGTAAAATGAAATAGAGTACCGCATTACCGCATTCGAATACCAAATTAGTTTATAAAATTATATAATATATAGATAAATGCTATTTAGTATTAGTATATATTACTAATATATTATTATATTATATAGGTAAATGTTATTAATAATAATTAGTATATGATATTATCATGTACTTATAATAATAATAATATATAATAATGTATAATATATTAATTTAATATTTATTAATTGTTATATAACTATAATAATACAAATATATAGTAATACATAACAATATAACATAACTATAATATTTATTATTTTATACATGAGTAACATGACTAGAATTAGATAATAATTAATACATATATGTATAATACTAAATATTAAACAATAAACATAATTAGTAATTAGAATTTAGATATTGGTAATTTGATACATCATTCATGTTTGAATTATTGAATATTTGAATGCGTAACCTTTAACTTGCAAGTATTAATGTGCTCTAAATTTACATTACATATTTAACATAAAAATTCATAATCTCTATTCACTAATTTTAAGACTTTAAGTATAGACAAGACAACTAAGCAGTGTAAGTGAATGCATATGAATTGCAAATCAATATATTAGTGTATTGACTTTCACAATAACATATGTAAGTAAATAAGTTTTATTTTGATTTAAAATAAATTATAAGTTTGTAACTAATATAACTTATCACTAATCATTGTAATTTGTAAGTTTGTAATTAATATTACTTATTATTAATTATTGTAAATTATAAATTCATAAATTATTATTAATCATTGTATAGTCTAAGGTTTATTTTAGTTTAAATTAATCATTTTTTATGTGTTCCTTAAATCATAGATTAAGGATTCTAGGTATAAGTGATCAAATAAATGCCAATTAAATTAAACCACAAAATGATTAGAACATAAGTAATGTGTTAAATTATGAATAAATTTGGGGATCAAATCAGTAATAATTTTTAAAAATCAGTTTTTTTTTTATAAATGAATTCGGCTAACCGAATTTATTACCATTTCCGAATTCGAAATCGGTTACGAAATGAATTCGGTTATAACCAATTTGAAATTGAAAGCGGTTTAGATTTTTATAAATCAATAATCGAATTTACCAAATTCAGCTAACCGAATTATCGAATTTGTACCGTTTGCTCACCCCTAAATACTACACAGCTGCCGTTGAATTTAAGGCTGTCAAGGTAGGATTTATTAGGGGTGGCAATCGGATCCAAATCGGATTGGCGGATCGGGTTGAGACCCGAGTATAACAGAAAACTCATTGACCTGTACCTGACCCGCCAACCCGAAACGGGGTTAAGATACTTGACTCGAACTCGAAAATTTAGGGTTGGCGGGTCAATCCGAAATGACCCGAAACTTAATTTTAATTTATTAATTTATCACTATAATTTCGAATAAAATCAATTTCGCACAAGACTAATTACATAATCAAGTAATAAAATTTTAAATAAATAATTTCAAACCAAATTTTAAATAAATTAAAACACCATAAAAGTGTTTTATCCCAAACCAAATATAAAATAAATTAAAACAGTATAAAAGTAAATAAATAATATAATACATTATTTGTTCAAATATAATAATTTCAACTTTACACAATTTAAATAAATTCATTTAGGATTAAGTGATTAATACCTTTGGAAAAAAAGAATAACTTAGTTTAGTTAGATAAAATAATTTTTATGTTTATTAAATTATTTTTAATTCGTAAACAGGTTATCGGGTCATATCGGATCATCCACGGATTGACTCGAATTCGACCCGTTTTCTTTTCGAGTTCATCGGATTCGACCCAATTCTGACCCGAACAAGCGAAATTTCAACTTAAACCTATTAATTTCGTGTTAGGTTCGTATCGTGTTTTCAGGTTGTATCGGAAATTGCTACTCCTAAGATTTATGAGAGATATTTAAGCATGACTGATTTCATTAAACTCACTGGATGGATGCAATATGAAAAATTTTATGTCGGTCTTGACTAATTACTATTCATTCCTAGTCGTTAATCTCGCACCAATAAAAAGTTTTCAAATAAAGGTCTCACTTAATTCCATTTAACATGTTAATTAGTAGGTAGATCCTTATATATCTACATAAAAATTTTCTATGAGTCTTGTACGAACTGCTAACAATAATGTCACTGCCTAATAGTTGCTCCAACATGATATTTCTCGTTGCAATACCTCTAAATTATTATTTATTCATTCAGCAGCAAATTCTTTATTGAGTAAAATACACGGAACCCCCCTATGATTTCGCAAAAAGACACGGAGCTCCTCTATCGTTTAAAAACATACACATAAACGCCATAAACTTCATAACTAAAGTGGAAATAGACCTATAACCGGCTGAGCGAACTACTGATGATGGGTCTGCGAGATTCTTTTGAAAAGATCGTGAGTTTCATTCCCAAACTACCCTTCAATTACTATATAGAAGGCACTACATATTAGGAGAGAATAGATTTGAAGCTATCAAAGAGTGAAAGGAAAAAGGGAGAAGATCTACTTCTGAGTATATCGAAGTCGTCATGTCCACTTCTGCAAATTTTGGAGGAGGTTTGACAGATTTAAGGTATGAATGGTCTCGGTGCTTCTGCAAGAAAAGAGCAAAAATCAAGATCGTGGAGTCCAACAAACCCTCAAAAGGTAGACTGTATTACATTTGTGAAGATCAATCCTACTCCTTTTGGGCATGGTGCAATCCTCTAAGAAGGGATGGAATGGACAATGAATGTACTAGTAAAAGTCCAGAAACAAGATTAGACGAAAGTTCTGGGTTCTCTCCAAGAGTGAACAGTAATGAAGGTGTGCTGGCTGTGAACAATGGTGACATTTTGTTGGGGCTACATGCAAAGTTGAGCACGGTTGAAGGCACTGTGGGGTTGTTGAAAGTGATAATGATTTTGTCTCTTATTATTTGTTGTTTATCTCTAGTTATTACTGCTTATAGAAAATAATAGTTTGGTTAGTGGTAGTATAATGATGTACCAAATAATGTAATAATTTTAGTTTATGAAAAAATATTTGTTGTTTATTTCTAGTTATTGCTGCTTATAGAAAATAGTAGTTTGGTTAGTGGCAGTATAATCATGTACCAAATAATGTAATAATTTTAGTTTATGAAAAAATTCCAAATTTTGTCATGATTTGTATTCCTGTCTGAAAGAAAGATAATAACCATACAACCTGTTTACTCATGAACCAACTGTAATTTGGATAGTCATAATATGATAACCACAATCCAATATATGGCATTACAAAAAAGAGCAATAATGCCAATAATGTCATTACAAAAAAAACATCACTTACAAAATATGTTAATTCATTATACAATGTCTGCTCTAAAGATAGCATATATACCATTACAATTTGTTTACATGGACACAAGTCCTAAAAATAACATTCCTGATTCTAATTTTTCTTAAATCTTTTGGATCGAGAACTAGGGTTGTTATTAGTAATTGCAGCAGTGCTGCTTTGTTGAGATGCTTGATGCACTGGTGCTTCTCTGATTGGGGCTGAAGTGGAAGCTGTTCTTACCTCTCGCTGGGTATTGCTTGCTGGAGCCTGCAACCAGAGTAAAAAATTTACTGCTGGAATAATTATCAAGAGTACATAGTGCAAGAAAAATTCAAGTACTTAAATGTACCTTGTACAACTTGGATTTGGGATGAGGAAGTTCCTTACAAGTTCTCCTATTATGCCTAGTTTTTAAACATCTCTTACAGTATACTGACAACCTCTTTTTGGAAGCTCTTTGTGGATCTCTCGGTTCATCCGGACCTCTTCTCCTAAGTTTTTTAGGTCTCCCAGGTTGTTTCTTCACAAATGGTGGATTTAACAGCTGCATTCCACTATTAATCCAGTGTTTTTTGGATGGAACAGCTCCAATGCTATAAGCATATGCCCTCAAGTATGCCTCTGTAGTATAGCACTCATCAACATAGTTTTCAACCTTCATCCGCATGCTTTGAATGGCAGAAATAGCATGCACACATGGAATTCCAGTCAACTGGAATGCACCACATGAACAGCTTCTACGTTGCAAGTTCACAACGGAGGTTCTGTTGAAACCATCAACCTCAAATGATTCAATACCATCAAATACAGAAATACAATGTCTGCTCTTCTCTACACTTTTAGCTAACTTCTCAACAATGTTTGGACACAATCTGCCTCCATATTTCTCCATGTCTTGCCTCTTCAATGTCAATTGTTGCATTGACTTTCTTTTGAAAAATTCAAGAAGAGTCACAATTGGCTCGTCTCTTGCTTTTAAAATGTAGTTGTTGAAACTCTCATTCAGATTATTGACTGAAATATCAGTCTTAGCAGCCATTCCATAATGTGCTCTAGACCACAAATGATATGGCAGCCTTTTTAACCAACCAGCAGCAGTAAGGTTCTCTCCATTTTATGGCTGAGCTATCTCCAAAGCATTCAATGCTCTCTTGAAATCATCACCATTAGTTGCTGATGCAGTAGCCCAAAACAATTCTCTCAGTTCACTGTCTTTGAACTTTGCCTTAAAATTCTCAAACAGATGCTTAAGGCAAAATCTGTGTTCTGCACCAGGAAATAGCTCCTCTATAGCATGTACCAGTCATTTTTGCCTGTCAGAAATGAAGGTATAAGGCACTACATTGCCCCTTCCAATATGAGTAATCAGTTCCTTCAAAAACCAAGTCCAACTATTATAGTTTTCTGCTTCAACAATGGCAATGGCTATGGGAAACATATTGTCATTCTCATCCCTTCCAAGTACTGCTAACAGTTGACCTCCAAAGGGTCTCTTCAAAAAGCAACCATCTAAGCCAATGATTGGTCTACAACCTGCAAGAAAATCCTTTTTAAGAGCACCCAAGCCATAGAACAGCCTTTGAAATGTTGCCCTTTCCTCAATAGACCTTCTATCTATTTGTATAGCTATATGACTGTCTGGATTTGATTGTCTAACCGTGGCAGCATAATCCCACAGCCATTCATATTGCTCCATATCACAACCTTTGATTGCCTTCCTGGCCTTCCTCTTAGTCCTGTATGCTTTTTTGCTACTTATATTAACCACGAATCTTCTTCTGGCATCATTAATAATGCCATCCAAGCTGCAATTAGGGTCATCTCGAACCTTCTCTTGAAACTTTCTGCTCAGATAAGTTGAGATTGCATGCTTGTTAATGTACTCTTTGCCGCAATGGTGCTCTCCCTTTAGTGTTTTGATCTGAAAAGTGTCAGTCCTATTAACTCTGCTTGCATGAATCCTCCAAGAACATCCTTTTGCACATTTGGCAGTTATCCTCCAACTGTCATTGTTGATATATAAAACTTCGTATCCCTCTCTAATGTTCCATTCCACAAGTGCTTCTCTAAATTTTGTAAAATGAGTGAATTTCTTCCCAACCTTTAATTCAAAATTTGGCTTGTTAAACTCCACTGAAACATTGAAATATGAGTAGTCAAGCCCATTTTTATCACCAGAATATAGGAAGTCTTCATCTGCAGTCACATGTTCATTCCATTCCTCACTGTCAGGGCCAATAGGTTGGTCTCCTCCATGCTGATGCTGTGCTGTGGACTCTTCACCTTGTGCTTCCTCATGTTGTTGCTGCTGCTTATTCAAGTCTTCAATTTGTTGATGCTGTGCTGTGGACTCCTCACCTTGTGGTTGCTGATGTTGTTGCTGCTGCTCATTCAAGTCACCAATTTGCTGATTTGTTTGAGGTACAGTTGAACCAGCAGTTGCAAAGATGTCCTCATCTTCTGCAAATTGTAGGCCCTCTCTCAACCAATCCGGATCAGGTTCTTCATTTCCATCACTGTGGTGCTGTTGTTCATTGTTGACTTGATTCTTCTCAACAGAGGTTCTGTCAAAGTCACAATGTTGTTCATTGTTGACTTGATTGGTCTCAACAAAGGTTCTGTCAAAGTTACATTGATTTTCACATTCTTCTTTACTTTGGTTCACTGAAGAAATCTCTTGCTGGCTGTCGACAACATCTATTCTGGTTGTTTGCTGAAATAATTTTCTGACAGTTTTTCTAACTGCTCTTTTCACAGGTTGCACCATAGTTTGTCTCTTCCTCGATGGAGTTTTACCACCCTTTCTTCTGTTTTTCTTAGTTGGTTCAAAGGGATTTTGTGTGCCATCATTAGTTTTTACAGCAGTTGAGCCATCTAAATTATTTTCTTGCCCTCTTGTATCACCAATATATGGTTCAAAACCAGCCAGATCAACAGGATTTTGTGAAGCTCCAGCACCTTTTCTAGTCAGATCTGAATTTATCTCTGAAGAACCTTCATTGTACGGTAAAGCAAGTGGACCATCATTCGTCACTCTTTCGAATAAGAGCTTACCATCTGGTGAGATAATTTTGAGAGGCCTCTGACCTGACTCTACATATATATGCATATAAGGAAGCCCTTCATAACAGGTAGTCAACAATTCTATGTCCACGTCATCATTTATTGGGATAACACCTACATCCACATCATGGTCTGGAATGGAATACCAAAATTTTGCACATGCCGCTTCTTTTTCAATTTTGGAGTACAGGTTGAATAATGAAAATGTTGATAACTCATCAGGGTCGCAATTGTGAAACACTCTCACTAAATCACTTGTATACCTAATATTGGGATGATGTATAAACCGCCCACCATAGTGCATATGGATATCCACTGTCCTAAAAGGATCTGACATGGTCCCCAACCTAAATTATTTAATCAACACTTTTAGAATTCAAATATAGATTAATAAACTATATTAAGCTACATCACACTTTCAGATTATAACAACAATTAGTTATAACAACAATCAGATTATTAAGTGAAATCTGATTTGTAGTCAAATCCAAACCCGACACATATTATTTCCTCCTGACATCAACCACATTCTCCAAAAAAGACCCACATTCTCCAAAAAGAGCTAAAAAAGTTAAGATCTTTACATTTTTAAACCTCATTTTCTCTGATAAATCACCTAAATATGGACTACCAACTATAAAAATGACAGATATGGGATAATGTGGAAAATGAATAAACAAATTGGAAAAGGATTACAAATCCTAAACATTAAATGGACTGAATATTGAACAATAAGTTCTGATTCTTACCTAGAAATGTCGAACAAGCTTCACGATCAGATTTCCTCACCAATCTGTCTTTCCCTTCTTCGCGACCGAATGCAGCTTCACGATCAGATACAACCATCAATCTGTCACTCCCTTCTTCGCGATCGAATGCAGCCACGGCTTTTTCAACTCAGATTCACGATATTTCAGCAACAATTTAGTATACAAATCCCTTGTCTTAGGGTTTTTTTTCTTACACAGGATGAACGAGAAAAGAGTCAGTTGTTCATTCTCTCTCCCTCTCTATTATAAATGAGGGTATTTTGGGTATTCGACCTGCAGCCGGTAACTCAACCGGTTAAGAAGTCTATTTCCACTTTAGTTATGAAGTTTAGGGCGTTTATATGTATGTTTTTAAACGATTGGGGGGTTCCATGTCTTTTCGCGAAACCATAGGGGGGTTCCGTATATTTTACCCTTCTTTATTCGTTCCCAACAAAAGTTCCACGCTCATGGGCCCCGATGAATAATTGATCAAGGAATGTGTATATTTTCTTTAACAAAACATATAATGGTCCAAAAAAAAATGTCAAATGTGCTTCTACAAATTTTTTTTTTCTTAATTTCTCCTTTGTAAAATACTTTTGCACCCTCATTAAGAAAAAGAAATCTACACCTACGAGGAAAATATTCCACCAGAACATTATTTATACGTACATCATACTACCTTAATTACAAAGAAAAGCTGAATAGCCAGTCCAGGCTCCATAAACTGGTGAAAGGGCACAAGCTTAGAAAAAGAGCCATCAATCGTGATGAAGCAGCAGCAGCAGCAGCAGCAGAAGCTGTTTCTCATCGCGACCTTCATTTTCTTCCTGTCTTCCCCAACCTTTACCGATGGTGCCGGAATTTTATCACGCATTTTTGACCGCACGATCACGGCTTCCGGCAACAACCACCTCAGCAGTGGCAACAGCAGCAGCAAATACTTGACCAGAGATGCTCTCTGGTTCAACCAAACTCTCGATCACTTCTCCCCTTATGTAATGTCTCCTTTACCCCTTTACATTCTACTAGTGGTAGTACTTCTGCGTATATATTTCTGGTTTCAGAAATTGTAATCTACCTTTGCTGGTTGCTATGGAATTTGTTGTGTAGGATCACCGGCAATTCAGACAGCGTTACTATGAGTTCCTAGACCATTTTCGGGCTCCCGACGGGCCAATTTTCTTGAAAATCTGCGGTGAATCGGAATGCGGAGGGATATCCAATGATTACCTCGCTGTAATTAACCTCGTGTTTCTACAATATATTTTTGCGGTCATGGCACTATTTATATTTGCTAAATTAACTGAACTTTTCACCTGGTTAGCCAACCTCTTACAAATGGTGAACCCTTTAGTTAATTTGTCTGACTGATAGGTTTTGGCAAAGAAATTCGAAGCTGCAGTGGTGTCTCCTGAGCATCGTTACTATGGGAAGAGTTCCCCTTTCAAATCTTTGACCACTGAGAATCTGAGGTTTCTTTCTTCAAAGCAGGCACTTTTTGATTTAGCTGTTTTCCGTGATTATTATCAGGTGAACTCTTCTGCTGAATCGGTTAGATTCTAGTTTTCTTTTAAGTAATTAGTTTGTTTGCTATTTTAGTATTTAGGGAATCGAAAGGTTGGATTTTTACTTGTCTTGAAGATTGAGAAACTTACCTTTACTATTTCACATACTTTCTTCCTGGTTTTGATGTCTTCTTTTGCTATTTTGTGAAAGATTTCGCATTGCTACTTTTGCAGAAATCCTTGAATGCCAGGTTCAATAGGACCGCAGCTGATAATCCATGGTTTGTCTTTGGTGCTTCGTATTCTGGAGCTCTTAGTGCCTGGTTTCGTCTGAAGTTTCCTCACTTGACTTGTGGAAGTCTTGCCAGCTCTGGTGTTGTTCTTGCTGTTTACAACTTCACTGAATTTGATCAGCAGGTAAAGATTGGTGTTTTGTGTTTTCTAATGCATTTGTAAGTCATGCTGTTATTTATATGTTTAATGGCTCTGCCTATTGCAGATTGGTGAGTCTGCTGGTCCTGAATGCAAGTCTGTGTTACAAGAAATTACTCATCTAGTTGAGGAAAGGCTTGCATCTAATGCCAATGAGTTAAAATCATTGTTTGGTGCTCTGGAGGTATGATATTCTATCTCATCACCATTAACAATATCTTTGAATTTGATTTACATGGTTTCTGCTGTTATTTAGTAGTCATTTGATGTTGCAACTCAAATGATTTGTCTGGGTCAACTGAACTGGGTGGCAAATGCTTCAACTGAAAGATAGAAGCAATCCACTTATTTTTCTTGCTTTATGTGTGTTGAAAAACATCTAACAGGGTGCCACTTTTGGTTTGTGATCTACAGTCTTCAATTATTAGGAGAAATTGAGAGTCAAATCCTCCCCCAAGGGACGTTGTTTTCTCTTGAAGGGGGGAAGGATTAAGAGCTTATCTACAATCCAGATTATCAAAATATGAAATGACTGCCTTGCTAGTTGCTATATTCCCAACATATATGGTGATATTAGGATTGACTTACATGGAATCCTTTGGATATCCCAAAATCATTAGTTAACTTTCAGAATCTGGCAATTGGGTGATCTTTAATTATTGACACAATTTTGTAGGGAAAACTACTAAAGGAAGGGAGGCTACTAGTATTGGGGTAGAGGGAATATTTTCTTGTGGGACAGGTTGTGAGATGGAGGGGATTTTAGATTCACTCTTAATTCTTGCGTTTCCATATCTACCATCATAAAAGTGGTCAATTAGGAACCAAAAGGTCAATTGAAGATAACCAGAATGCCAAAAGAAAATTGGGACTATCTTATCTCTTAAGTGGTACATGCTAGACCTGAAAACAGGTGATCAATGAACATGTCCGCATGAACAGCATGCGCGCACTGCACACAGAGCACTATTGATCTTTATTTTTATCTTTTATTCGCATACCAGAAGTGGGTTAGTGAGATCTTGATTAAATGAGTCCATTTTGAAGGTTTGCATTTTTTGAGTTTTCTAACAGCAAGAGTTGGGATCTGTATGTTTAATAAGTTTTAATGTTCCCATAATACCAATTCCGAAAGACTGAAGTCCTAACTGGCCTGAGACAGAAAGATGGATAGTGTGAAATCTGTGTCCTTAGATATCAAACTGGTCATATATGTCCAGAAGTGCTTTCTCTCTCTTTCTATCTGTGTGTGCGTGTGCGTGTGTTGGGGGGGTTGTGGATTCTTGTTTGAGAACTTTAGTTCACATGTTAGTCTTTAGTTCTAATCAATTGTTTTCTTGCTGATTTTTTTTCCTATTGTGAAATCTCTAGTCGTATTTCTGAGTTACATGAAGACTTTTGTCTTTTTTCAGCTAAAAATAGATGGAGATTTCATGTACTTTCTGGCAGATGCTGCAGCTATAGCGGTAGGTGAGACACAATTTATGTATTGTTCGGAACCTATTGTCAAATTAATGATCTGGAGCTTGCCAACAATGCAGTTTCAGTATGGAAATCCAGATAAACTATGTACCCCTCTCATTGAAGCAAAAAAGGCTGGGGAGGATTTAGTGGTAAGCCGGTGGGGTAGCCATTCATCTTTTATTGGAAATTGCATGAATTATCAATTCTGATTTTGTGTTCTTGTTTATCAGCCAATGTGATATATGAGAAATCCTAGTAGAGTATGCTCCTTATGAAAAGTTGTAGTAAATGTTTTGCCTGGTGTTTCTCTTAAATTTGGCATTTTTCCTGTAATCACGAGAAGTCATATGCTTTCTTGTTAGAACTCTTGTTTAATTATTAGTTCGTGTATGATATTGCGTGTTAAAATGGAAAGGAAAGTTATTAACTGCATAAGATTATTCTCCAAATATAACTCTATCCTTGCCACTTGTTTTGTTCATATAGTATTAAAACGTATTCTGTCAAAAGTGCACAAAGTGGTATTCAGCTTCTTCATGGTTTTCTTTTCCTTGCAGAATGCATATGCCATATATGTGAAAGAGTATTATGTCAAGAGCTTTGGTGCCAATGTTGAAACATATAACCAGCAACATCTGAAGAATACTGCTGTGAATGATGACTCAGCTGATCGCTTATGGTGGGGTTCCAAGTCTGCACCGAAGTAGCATACTTTCAGGTGGCCCCATCAAATGATAGTATTCGATCTTCGAAGGTTGATACAAGGCATGTATATGCTTGCTATCTGCATAATAACATATTTTAGCATATTGTTTTTTGATTGCATGTCAGAACCTGCTTGATTATTATACTCCTGTATATAGATTCTGTGTTCCAACATGAAGAAGTTAGTTTTGTCATCTCTGGCAGATACCATTTGGACCTTTGCAAAAATGTCTTTGGAGAGGGCATCTACCCTGATGTTGATGCAACCAATTTATACTATGGGGGTACTGATATTGCTGGTATGGTCAATACAAGTTTTCACTGTTTGAGGTTCTCAGTTTTGTTTTCTCATTTATAAGATCTTTTGAGTCTCTTTTCTTTGGTGGTGGGGTGTGTCATTACAATTTGGCTAGATATATTATGGTAAGAACTGCATTATGTATGTCTTGGGGGAGATCAACGTTATTTCTATATTGATTAGTTTGTATACAGGTTGTTGCATCATAAACTCGATAGATCTTTGTAGCCCTTGCGACATACTCACTTGTTTCTCAAATTTATTTGGTGGATCTGTAAATTTGTGGAACTCTGCAATACTGCATATTATTATTATTATTTTTTTTTTTGGTAGTGAATTATTAATTTATGGATTGGATTTGCAGGTTCAAAAATAGTTTTTTCTAATGGATCACAGGATCCTTGGCGGCATGCTTCCAAACAAACTTCTTCTCCAGAGAGTGAGTCCTAAATTTATCTTCTAAAGGATATTGTACTTGAAAAAAGTAGGCTCGATATCTGGAAAATCATAGTGGCTGTACTGCAGCCCATATCAGTCTCACATTTTCTTTTTGACATGAACTGAGGCATATACTTTCTTAGCTTCATGTCAGATAAATTGATATTGACATTATTTACAATGCGATTACATGCTTCTTATCGCTCCTGGGTTTAGGAGACAAATGAAACTTTGCCATAAACATTGGCTTGTATATCTCGGGGAAGTTTTATCGCATTGTGTGGAGAATGAAGGGCTGGTGCACTATAGCAAATTGAACTTGTATGGTTGAAAATGAGAAGGATAAAAAAAATGCACAACATGTATCACTGTCTTTTGACAGGATAACATAGAGCTTGTATGATGTGATGTTCTGATGGATCTTTTTAATCTTGCAGTGCCTTCATATATTATCTCTTGTCATAATTGTGGACATGGAACTGATCTGCGGGGTTGCCCTCAGTCTCCTTTAGTCATTGAAGGTTTGTCCGTCCTAAGTTTGGAATGTGTTTTGATGCTGACCCAATCTTATCCATATCTGATGAAGAGTGAAAATATGATCTTTGTTCAAATGAGTGTTGATTATATTCACGTGGCCTTTAAGTAAGAGTGGGAATTTAATGCAGAATGAAGGGAGGCAGAGTTTCTTTAATCTGGAAATATGTGATTTGGAATGAAAATGATCCTTCTGCATTTTTCATTCTGCTCTGTCAAATTGTGGACAAAATTCTTTTTAAATCTGCTTTTCTTGTAAATTACCTTTTCCAAGAGATTGTGCATAAACGTTTTACTCAATAAAGTGGCCAATTCAAGTCAATTTGGCTTGGGAAATCTGCATTTAATATCCAAATCGATTCTTCTGTAATAGTAGTATTATCTTGTCCAGTATTAGCTATGTTCTTGATGCAGTTAAAGTACATAAGATATTTGAATTTTTTTGTGTTTTATGCCTTATGTGTGTAGTCAAGTCTAAAGTTTTGTGCTACGATATGCGATTCTTCTCCAACCCTTGGAAGGTGTAGTTGTGTATTTTGGAACCCTTTGATGCAAATGATAAAGATTGTGCTTCATGAAGTATATCACTTTCATGATTCAGGTGATGCCAGCAATTGCAGCTCCCCTGATGCTGTTCACAAGGTCCGGCAGCAGATCATAGAGCACATAGATTTATGGCTGTCTCAGTGTCGGTCTTCAGGTAGGAGTTCAATGTGATGAAGAACTAGAACTAGCTGGCTGGCCAAGAGAGGAAATTTGTAATTTTTAATGGCTAACCATTTACATATTTATCACTGTCAGCAGATGATGTATAATTTGCTTAGCCATTGATCCTGCCATCTGTACGAGTAATTGTAGTGTCCAGGCTAAATAAGAGAACCAACTCTTACTGAAGCCGCACATTTCCTTGTGGAAATGTGCGGAGGTAGATATGAATGAAAACTGAGACGATGATCGCACTGCTTATTTACTACTTTCTCGGAGTCAGTTTGCTGAGCTAAGGGGCTGAGGAGATGAGACAAGCCGTTGTAACCAGCAGAAGGGAAAACAACATTAAAAGCAAAAAGGAAAGAGGAGCAAATTATGAACTTCCAAAGTAAGACAATGCCAGCCAAATTACTGAAAAGTAAGATGCTGTAAAAGGGTGAAAAATGTTGGTAGTTGTGATGCTTGAATAGTGTCAAAAATTTCAAGCGCTTTATAATGGAAATTCCTTCTCTTCAAGTTCCTTCGTTAAATCAGCCGTCTAAAGAGTTGCCGAATTAAAGTATTGTAGGTTTCCTCTCAGTTATGGATGTGTACTGGAAGACGTTGGAGCCTGTTTTCCGTATATCATCTGGAACTGAAGCTTTATAGTCAACTTCTGACAGAAATTAATAAAGCAACTGAATAAGTGGCCTCTTCCAAGCCTGCTGACCTAGTAATGCATTTTTAGTAGCGGACAAGGATCCCTAGTTAACGTGATTTAGATTTTGCTTGAGTTCAGGATAAGTTTCTGTTGTGGAAGCAAACCAACCTCCTAAGCTGGAATTTGGGTTTCTTCTCCGGATCGTTTCCGGTCATGCTACAACGACCTATCATGCTCTAAACAAGTTATAGAATGAACATCTTATACTAAAGGATATAGGCTACATTCGAAGGATTTATAAGTAGGATTGGAAGAGTCAGATGGACAGACCCTAAACCAGATGAAGAGCAAGGCTTTGTGTTTTCTCTTTCTCCCTCTCTCTCTTTGTCCCCCTCCTTTTTACTGTTTTGGAGTCAAGAAGAGCACAGTTTTGACCTGAACCTCTGAAAGGTGTACAAAAAACAAATAGGAGTTTCTATCCAACGCTTTCACACAAAATTGACTCTAACAAGAAGAATTAGATAGACTGCTATCAAGTACATTGTCAAGCGAAATAACAGGCTTCAAGGGCTACAAGCACCCCTCTGCGTTTCATGGCAATACAGTAAGCTTCATAAGCAATAGTCTGCAGTTTGTTTCAGACAGCTTAGTAGACGTACCCTTTGACAAACATTCCTTTCTTGGCCTCCTCAGACTCTCCCTCCCCTGTGTATTTGCCAAGCTGAGCAAGAGAATTGGCCTGGGCTCGAATTAGCAAAGTTTCCTGAGCAGCCTTGACATTTTCGGGTCTTCCTCCCCAGGTTTTGAGGCATGTGTTCTGAAGAGCTCTGGCATATGAGAAAGACACATGCCATGGGTTGGGTGCTTGGTTCATGGCATTTAAGTTCAGAGTTGCCTCCACTTCAGATTGCCCCCCAGACAAAAACTGCGGATGGCAAAGATATTAAAGAATCAGGGACAAATCTGATTATGATCTTAAAATTAATAGCCTACGGGTTAACCAATATAATTTGTCAAAACTTGCCATGATTCCAGGGACAGCAGGCGGTATTCTTCTCTTAAGGAACCTGAGGGTGTAATCAGCAACTTGCTCTGGTGTGGCCTTATCTTTGCACTCTGCTCCAGGAGTAACCATGCTAGGCTTCAAGAGGATACCCTCAAACAGGACATTGTTCTCGGCCAGGTAGAAGAAAACCTCAGCCCACACCTTCAGGGAAACTTCAAAGGTCCTCTCAATTCCATGCTCACCATCAAGCAAGATCTCTGGCTCAACAATTGGGACCAACCCATTGTCCTAAAAGTTAATTAATTCATTAAAAGTTGACTTATGATTTACATAGTAAGAGGTTACACCATCAGTCAAAAATCCGATACCTGGGAGATGGCTGCATAGCGGGCAAGACCCCATGCTGCTTCCTTCACTGCAAGTGCAGATGGACCATTGGGAATGCTCACGACGGTACGCCTACGAGTTTAGATGATACCATGAATTAACTTGACGAGTTAAAATTACATCAAGGTAGTTTGATAAATTACTAAGAATACCATTTAGCAAACCGAGCACCCTGCTGATAGTATGCTGCAGAGCGGGAGGCGAGGCCATCAAGACCTTGGCACCAAGATTCATTGTTTGAGCCAGCAAGAGGAACTAGACCCTGTAGCAATCACCATCCAGCTTTTTAATAAATCAGAGATGATTACGGAACACCTGAACTATGACTTATTCTCGTTGCCTGAAATGATTGATTAAGAAAAAGGCATGTCTTACCTTGTCAACCTTAATACCAGGAACAATATTTTGTTCAACAAGTATGTCAACTATCTTCTTGCCATCGACTGTGGACTGGTAGAGCGTCTCCTCAAAGAGGATGGCGCCTGAGATGTACTGACCAAGTCCAGGAGCGGTCACAAGTAGGGTACGGTATGCTTGGCGGTTGGCCTCTGTGTTCTCCAAGCCGATGGAGGCCAGGCGCTTGCCGCAGGTGGCATTTGACTCGTCCATGGCCAAAATTCCACGACCAGGAGATGCAACAGTTTTCTGAAAAATTATGGTTATTAGTAAGATAGGATTAAGTATCCTTACACAAGTATCATTTTCATGCTTCACTGACTTTACCAGTCAATTCAACTAACATAAAAGCTCAAAAGAACTACCTGCACGGATTCTTGAACTTCAATTAAATAGTCTTAATCATTGGAGATGCTCAAGTTTTGTCAGATTCATGCATTTTTCTACTGTTTCTAGAGTAACCATCTTAATTGCGAGGCGCAGTGCTCTAAAGTCTGCTTCAATTTCATTTAAAAGACGAAAAAGGTTCAGAACGGAAAGGACCTAAATCAACTTCACCGGGCTTGGGCTTTTACAGCCTCGTACATCTTTTGTTCCTTTTGCATACATGTCGTGATCTTCTTCTTCACTATTCTAATTTGCTTTTCCTCTGTTGCTCCTAAATGTGCAACTTCAGACTTCACTGATATAATTCCACGTCCATCTCAAAATCTAATTAACAAGATCGAGATATTGGATAGTGAAAAGTTTTTGGAATACTTCGGTAAACTTAAAAAAGGCTGGATTCTTCACATTCAGCTTTCAAACTAAAATTCTTCCAAGCAATTCCTTTCTTCAGCCTACTTAGCATTCACGGTTAATGATGAGAACCCCAACTAAATTGCTAGATTGATGCAAATATGACTAATACAGAACCAACCCAAAAAACAAAATTATGACTCGTACATTTAAGTGTAAATGCTTTACATTTTTTTACATAGAATTAGCCCCTCTACTCCATTGAAACTTTGATGCATGTAATAACAGCTAGCCAACAATAAACAAGAGGTGATGTTCCACGTACCGCGGTTTTGACAAGCTCATCAGCATAGGAGCTAGCACGCACGGTGAGTGAAGATGAGGAAACTGGTTGGCACCGCACAACAGAAACTGCAGAAGGCTGGCGCAGGGCCTGACCCTTTAAGAACTCAGACTTGTCAAGGACTGGAGAAGACTTTAGGAGAGATGCTGATGCTGCCATTTCTCTTTCAGTCTTCTTGGACCAAAAAGATTAGAATTATCACTTATGACTCTCCTCAAGAACTGCTACAGGATTTATGGGCTAACAAATTTAGCATGGCCACATAGTTCTAATCACAACTTATATAGTTCTAGTGAGATATGTGTTTTGAGGCCATAATCTGTTTACCAATCAATGTGTGCCAAGTGGGGTGATAATTTTCTGACTTGGCTCCAGGCATCAGATCTTGTGGAATTGATGGCTTGGTTTTGCTGTGCTTCGAGTTTTTTCTTTTGTCTGGATGCGTGTCATGCTTATGATAACCGAGAAATGGCAAGACCAGAAAAAAATTAGGACTGGCTACGTGACAAGCCACAACTAGTTGGAGAAAACATGGTTTTGGCCTTTTGGGGAACTTAGATTATAGGCCAGTGAATTGGAGGTCCCATTAAACTAGACTCTCGAGGCTCTCATTCTCATGCACTCTACAGTCTGAATTGGAGTAAACCTGCGACCCGAACTCTAGCTTCTTCAAATGTGTAATCTCAAAACAAAACAATCGGGGAATCTTTGGACATTCATTTTTTAAATGGAGAGGATTGTCTCAAATGTTGCAAGACGGAACAAAATAAAACCAGGCATAGGCTAAGTTCACCGAAAAAGAATAGAACATTAATTTCTGAACTTTCAATGCTGCCAAGAAATATGGAAGTTTTTTTTTTTTGTTTTAATGTAAATGAGAGATTTCGAATTCAAAACCTTTCACTTACCTTCCTTCACTTGTGCAACCCTGCCGGCCACATTTTGCAGTTTTTTTTCCGCCTTTCCGTACTTTTTTCACAATTTTCAGTGATACAAACAAAGCCCGTCGTGCCATTTTCTCAAACGCCATAGAATTGCCAGAGTGTGCCCATGATTACTGTATGTAACCGGCATAGAATGGCCAAGACTTCGACATCTAGCTGGGCCCTAATAAAAATCTCAGCAAAATGGCAAATAGAAAATCTTCTGCACCTTTCTCTGCCTGATTGCAGTCGTTTTTATGCCTTTCCCATCGCTAGTCATTCGTGGACAGGTTCTAACAAGAATACAAGAACTAAAACAACAATCAGGGCATCATTCTCGGTCAATTGTGCTCAAAAAGATCTGCCAGTTGATTGAAGTTTGTCTTCACAAAAAGTAAGGGTGAGAGACGAAGGCAAACCATTCTTAAAGAACATCTGAGGAACCTTTATGGACAGGGAGGATGAGTCTGACCATGGTCCCCCCAAATTTCACAAGCCTATGCTTCGAACCATTCAATTATATTGCTGGAGAGACAAATAGAGACGGAATGTAGAGCTCCACACGGATCAATGATCCATGCATGTGTAAGCGCCAGGGGGCATGCATGTGCGTGTTTCTGTTTACAGTGGATTACGCCAGTGCAATAGCCCAGTCCAAGTAAATTCCAGGGAATAATATTAAGCTGCATCAATCCAATTTCTTGATAAATCTAAACCATTGACTGCATTGTCACGGGATCAAGAATTTCAACAGCAGAAATGATCTCATAACTGCTTGGCGCTCATCAATCAAGAAGTGGTGGTAAGTGAAGAATTACAAGTGTTTCAGAATTCAACAAACAAGAAATTTTCCATTCTCTACTCATTCACTAAATGGAACTAGTATATTTTAAAATCCAAACCAAAGAATCACATAAAAAACTAAGATACTTTTTCCCTGACAAAATTGTGAAGTTGTTTCAAAGTCAGCGCTATCTAAGGTAAGTAGAAGCAATCCATAGGAAGACATAGCTTATCAATGAAGTCGTCACTTCCAAACTTCTTAGTCCTTTGAATATAGGTGGGATCACAGAAACCATCAAGAATGTCCCCACAAACCAGGAGAGAACAAAAGTTCCAGCCCTGAAACATGGTAGCATTAAGCTTATTTTAGCAAACAACTCAGAGAAATTCAAAACAGGAAAAAGAAAGGAGACCAAAAAGTCATTGTGGAAATTCAGGAATTATTTTTCATTTTCATTCAGGACAATCAAGTAGAGAAACGATCCAAGAAACAAAATATGTAATCACGGACCAGCTTAAAATGGTAACAAGTTTCATTGTAGAGTATGGCAATGTAACATACCCATAAGCAAAAGCCCAAAGTTTGCTCTTCAGCCGATCATATATGAGATACATGGTAATGATTAGGGAAAGAGCAACCTGAACTGTCGGACCTTCTTCGGTAGGAAAGAGCACCGTAAGAACTCCAAGAAGTACAAATGTGATTGAAGTCTTAATGATGAGACTTGTGGGAGGAGTTCGGAACCTGCTTGTCACAGCCTGCACATACCGAGATTGAGTTATCTCCCTAAACTTTTTCTTAATGTTGAGTTTTGGGTTCTTCCTTTCATTAAACTTTTGCATAATTATCTTGTTATGGGCTGATTCAATTGCATCCACACTTGGCTTATGGTCACCATATCTCTGTATTAGGAAGATCCTTGCACTTTGAATTTCATCTGCAGAAGCTTCCCTACTGATTCCAAGTAGTTTGTATGGATCCCTAACATTGATTCTGGGAAAGATAGCTGCAATTTAAAAAGCCAAATACAAGATTAAGATTTTCAGATGCAAGATCACTCAAATAGTCACAACAGGAAGATAATAATCAGGACTAGATATATCAAAAGGCACAGAAGTCTAGGAGAACAAACTTTGCAAGTATAGAGTTGTAAATCTTAATAGGGTAATTTAGTATCAAATGCAACAGAAGTGCCACCACAGATTACCAGCACCATGTACAAGAATACCATCTAAGATATGAAAACAAACGAGAAAGCATCTGGCTTTACAACATCAAGGATGAAAATGTGGAGATTTCACGACAAGCCACTGTCCATATAAGCTGAAGACCTCAATCTGTTAGTTAAAGAAATCACTAATCGGTGTGCAGATCTAACATTCCTTAACATCAATATCTGCACACCAATAACCAGGCAAATGCACCATGGGTAGTCCAACAATGCAACAAAAGCAGTTCATATACCACTGCCAGATTCACAACCAAACATAACTGGAGAAGAAATAGTTTATACAGGCATGTAGGCAACTATTCAAACAAACTGAATTACATTTTCTTCTTAACAAAATTTTTGCAATTGGATAAAACTAAGAGGGGCAATCACATCAGCAAAAGTCAATGACTAGATCACTCAATAGTCTAGATTTAAAAACATTGATACAAAAATTAAATTCACATCTCCAGCAAGAGAGAGAAAAGAGAAGTAATTAAATGCATCAGTTAACAAAGATGGTTAGAACGTCCACATTACCACTAGAACCATTGGCTGCATCACCATAGGATGAAGCATCCATTGTACACCTCACTAAAGGAATTCTTCGTAGCCCACATCTCTGTGTGGAAGTAGCCCAGTTACTACTACCTCTGCATGGTTGAAACAACATAAACAATAATATGCACGGGATTATCCCTCATTAATCTGTATTCAATGGAGTATGTCAATACCTTTGCTTACAGAAAAATTCCACAGATTGAACAGGGGAAGACAATGAAGCTCGTTCTCGATACACTGGACTGCAGGCAGGTATCTGAAGCTTATATCTTAAGGGGCAACCAGTTAATCCAGACAGTGTCATCATTTAGATGCCCTGATAGCTCTCTCAAATAACTATCCTGCGTTTAATATGTCCTGCGTAAATGAAAGTCTGCAATATAAGCAAATAACATGCATTTTCATAGCCTAGTTTTAGTGAGGAAAACAATTACACAGACGATGAAAGATCAGAATATCGATTGGTCAAACAAAGCTGCAATATACTTCCACTTGAACCTCAAGAAATGAGGTGTGTCCTGAAAAAAATGATGTAACTTCCTATAGAAACTAGAAAATAAAAGGAGAAAATTAGGACTCAAAGCAAAAGTAAAACAAGAAGAAGGAGCAAAAGAATGAATACCGTGACCATTTCAAAGACAAAAAAATGCCCAATCAGTCTATCTAGAAACTTGTATCGACCTCTTCTAGTCAAAATCAGTAATCTTACATTCCTATTGGTCTGTTTGACATGTCAGAAAGAGGATAACTAACATTACTAGTTCAATCTAATGCCCGTACCCAGGAACCAAATCCTTGCACAAGTCAAGCCATCCTGTTGTCCTTGCAATTAAGTGAATGCTTAAGAAAAAAAAAAAAAAAAAAACCATCAGATACCACAAATGTGGTATACTACATGGTAGATGATCCCCTCAAATGTAAGCTTCTGTACATAGTAAACCTTTTACAATCTGGAGCTTCTGTACATGGTAAACCTTTTACAATCTGGGGACACACTGAAACCTAGCAGCTGTGATCATGCTTAATAAAAATACACATTCTTTCCCTTCCAGTATCGATGTTTTCAGCATAGATGCAATGGAGTCCCACAACAATTTGTACTCTGGATAATCAGTAGATTGAATTTGCACCCCGTTCATTCCATCCAAGATAAGATCTTTCGCGATTATGACATGCCTTTGCCCCAGTTCCAGAAGTCCTTATCAATCAACTCCAACTCACAAGTGCCAACTAAATGTAGAAACTCAAAAACGATACAAATTATGGTAGAGGGTTTTTTTTTTTGGTATGCGTGTTGGGGGGGGGGGGGTGCACTAGCAAAAACTCCATGTAGCTTTGCTCTTTTCTCAGTTGAAGCTCTAAAATTAACAAAAAAGAAAAAGAAATATAAAAAGGTTTCCAACCCAAAAAAAAAAATCCCAACTTTCCTCTATACCCCATTGATTTAATAGATACTACTATTATTTGTATCAGAATCGACAGATAGTTAGGGCGGGAGTGAATGGAAGTCATAAAAAAAAAAAAAAAAAAAAAAAAAAAGAGGAAGAATTCAGTACCTGGTAGCAATAGAGTAGAGAAATCGTAGTTAACTTTTGGTTCAGGTAATAGAAGTACTAAGCAGTAGAGATCATGATGATGACAACGTTAATTATCAGTGAATTGAGGAGAGGGACAGCCCGCCGGTTGTTTTTAAGTTCGAGCAACGGATAGGAAAACGAGGAGGAGGAGGAAGAGGTGTAATTTGTAAAGGAGGGAGAGGCATAGCCGCACCGCAGGCAAGAGGGTTCGTCTACCATCTCCTTCCAATTTTCTATTTTCATTCCTCAGACAGGCATTCCGTTGTAGTCTAGATGGTTAGGATATTCGGCTCTCACCCGAAAGACCCGGGTTCGAGTCCCGGCAACGGAAAAGTGTTTTGTTTTTTTGGATGAATACCCATTTTTGCATTTAGCTCTTTTTCAATCAATTTTGCTTATAATTTCTTATTTCGACTTCTTTCTCTTTCAATAAATTTAAATTATTCTTTTTATCTATATATGGTAGCTTTGTTTAGTGTGAGTTTAGTTATTACATTGATAAATTCATTAAATTTTTTAGAAACCAATATATCATTCATGAATAAATAAATTGTTAACTAAAAGTAAATAAAGGTGGGCGTATAATCATTGTAAATTTTAATTTGTGTCTCAGAAGAATACTTGCTATCTTCTTATGCGTTATAATATTTAACAAAAAAATTATTTAAGAAAATATTATCATATTATATTAAAATGCATATAAAAGTTTTTAACTGCTAATATGGTAGTTAAGTATTTGGAATACAATAGTTTTTTGACATAAATTTGAATAATATGTAAGAATATATTTAATCAATTAGTTATGAATTGCATCAATTCATAATTAACAGTAAAAACTATTCCGTACTAATGAACGGGATAAATACAGTATGGCATGAAAAGAATTGTAAAGAAGAGAGTTTGAAAACTAGCTTATGCTATTCTTGGAAAATCTTCGGCAATTGGATACTAAATAATTGTTAACACCCACATTTCATATGAATCCTTTTTTTTTTTATGTCAACACGTTTCGTTTCGTTTCGTTTCTCTCTTTTTTCATACTTTGGGTAAGTACTTTATAGTTATAAATGTTTTTTAAAAAATGTTAAAGTCATAAAGTTAAAAAAAAATGATCCTATGATAAAACATCAACTCTCTCTCTCTCTCTCTCTGGGCGACGGTGCGCAATTCGTGTTGCCAACCATGATGGAAAACTAAAGCACAAGGACTTGGCAGTGTCACGGGATGCACCTCAACTCGTGGTATGCTACAGTTGGAAGTCTAAAGAAATGAGGGACAATCTCACCGGCAAGAGTAAATTTTGCCTCAATACCGTCTCCCTTCATTCTTATTTCTTTCTCCTATGACATTACAACCTTAGCTTTATTTGCTCCAGATGTTATTGCATTTATTCATAGAATACATATGATTGCACTTGTCTAATCCGAGAAAACTGCACAATTTTCTTTTCGTGTCTCCCGACTACTACAACACTGGGGAAAGAAAACAATTATCGCGTCTCTAACTTGCACTACTCATCTTTCTGTATCCGGAGTCCGGACCCATAAGCACAGGTTTTCTGTTTCTTGCTTCTAATTTTCGTCAACATTCCTGCTGTACAATCATATGCTGCCATTAATGGAATCCAACACTCAATACTAGTGTATTAGCAATTTGGAAACCAATATCTCGTATTGTAGATGAATATCAAAGTCATAGAGAACAATTAATTCTTTTATCCCACGAATCTCAGAGAATGTTTATGGACGAATTATATATTTGTGCGGCCTAAAGTTGGATGGCCATGTGAGTTTCTTAATGCTTGTCTTGTGCACAATCCTCACGTCTCCCAAGCTCCTAACAGACAAAAAAACACACACTAGAAAACACTAGTGTTGGTCAGTCGGTCAGCCAGCCATCGAGGGCAATGGTAAGGCAAGAAGAGATAATATTGATCGATACAGCCACTACATGCCAGATTCTCCTCTGCAATCTGCATGCCTTTCTCTTCTCTCCCTTTCTAGGCCAATCGTTTTATTATATATAGTCAGTAAATACAAGGGCAGCTAGCTTAGCTAATAGCTACTTCTTCCACTTTCTACAATTGCCTGAAACATTAGTAATTCTTCTGTTTCTCCAACCTTTCAGCTTCATAGTTGTACCTTATCCGCTAGTAAATGCCCAAGACTAGAATTCTTGAAGTTCAACACTGGCCAGCAGCTGGTACAATCATGAGACTGAAGTTGTACGTGCTAATTTTACTTATTACTTGTGGAGATTCTTTTGCTTCCTATTTCCACCGTGCCTCTAATGAGTTGCAGATTGCTGAGGATGCCTATGGAAATTGGCTGCGAAAGATGGGCTCTCTCAATCATTCTGTTTTCGAGGAAGTGAAGAATCAATTTACCCCTTGCAAGAAGATTAAAGTGCATAAAAATCCAAGATTGGGAGATTATACTACGGTGCAGAAGGCCATCAATGCCATCCCAATTATCAATAATTGTCGAGTGATCATTTCTGTTAGTTCAGGGACTTACAAGTAAGATTTAATTTTGACACATTCTTCACATGGAGGATTTTGCATTTCGTTGTGCTGTCTATTTTCTTTTTTTTAAGGCTCTATAACCAAATTTGTTCTCTTATAAATAATGCACGTCTACTGGAAATTAAACTACACGTGGGATTTGGGTTAAACGGGACAATGCAGAGAGAAAATTGAGATTCCGGCGACTATGGCTTATGTTAGCCTGGAAGGAGCAGGTGCAGGCGAGACGATCATCCAGTGGAACGACACAGCAGAGGGGAAGGGACCAAATGGGCAGCCACTGGGAACTTACGCCTCTGCGACATTTGCCGTTAATGCTCCCTATTTCATTGCAAAAGACATCACCTTTAAGGTCAGCAAAATTCCAAGCATAAATTTGCAAGAGCCAAGTCATATTGTGTGAAATGCGAATTTCTTGACAAGAAGAAACCGGCAATAAATAGCAAATTGACTGAATTTGAAGTATTGGATTGGTTTGTGACAGAATAAAGCGCCCCCACCGCCATCAGGGGCGCTAGGTAAACAGGCAGTAGCGCTCAGAATTTCAGCTGACACGGCAGCTTTCATAGGCTGCAGATTCATCGGAGCACAGGACACCCTTTATGATCACAAGGGCAGGCACTACTTCAGAGACTGCTACATTCAAGGTTCTGTTGATTTCATATTCGGGGACGGGCTCTCGCTCTATGAGAATTGTCATCTTCGTGCTAAAACAAAGAGCTATGGGGCCTTGACTGCCCAAAAACGAGAGAGTATGCTGGAGGAAACTGGCTTCTCTTTCGTTAACTGCAAGGTGACAGGTTCAGGGGCACTCTACTTGGGGAGGGCCTGGGGGTCTTTCTCTAGAGTAGTCTTTGCTTATACCTACATGGATAAGATCATCACCCCAAGAGGATGGTACAACTGGGGAGACAAAAACAGGGAAATGTATGCCAATTGCCAACCCTCATCTCTCTCACTATTTAAGGACTGAAATTATGGTCAATTTTCCTTTTTTATCTTCTCGGCTAGGAATATTGTGAATTCTAACGGATGCAGACTTCTGCAGGACTGTGTTTTATGGGCAATTCAAGTGTTCGGGACCCGGGGCAAATTTCGGAGGAAGGGTCTCATGGTCCAGAGAACTAACTCAACAAGAAGCTAAGCCGTTTATTTCGCTGAGCTTCATTGATGGCCGAGAATGGCTCGCGAATTTGTGATGATTTTCAGTTTTCCAGCAGCTGACCACGTCGGCCCTTTGAGCATAAGCATTTGCTAGAGCAGATAGCAATGTGGATCCATCCTCATTAAGCTTAACGCAGACCCCAAATTTTTTACTAGAAATGTTTGCCTCGTCTCTGTTGAGATTTCTAGTGGACTAAGTTCACCATTTTCTTTCCCCAAAAAAAAAAAAAAAAGTAAAAGATTTTGCTGCTAATATTTGGATCCTACTTCTCTCATCTTCATCTACTTTCCAGAAAAAAAAAAATTTAATTAATTAAATATCAACTGGTTTCTTAATTCCTCCATCACCACCATCCGCAGAATGAATATGGCGCTGTTCTACCGGACTACCTAACATGTCCATAAAATCAGCCGTAACTTGACTACCTTGCATTCTTTTTGTCGTCTTTGCAAGTTTCACCGCTGCGGTTTCTTGTTTTTCATTGCTTATCTCCAATGTAAATTGTTCGAGCATCCGAACCGGCCACCTAGGAAAAAAAAAACTAGCATCTTTCACGAAGCATAAGCTCCACTGCCCACCGCAAACGCTAGTACATAATTAGGTTTCGAAGGCCAATCAAAGGTCACCATTGGATTGAACATCTTTTACAAGCTGTGCTGTAAGCTCGAACATACTACAGCGCAACTTCGCATGACAAAAACCAATTGACGACGATCAGGTTTTGCTGTATAATCAAATTTCATATAGTTCAATCTAGGCCTAAGCCCTGGGGTTGGATTTTATTTTTTCCTTTTCTTTTCCTCCTTCCCAGTTGTTTTCAGAATGAATGTTTATTATGTCACCCTTTATAACTGAAACATCTAACATCCCTGCAGACTATTAACCGCCCATCCCTTCCCAGCACTCAAAAGACATCATCACATCACCAGGCAACTAAATTCACTTTCTTCAAGGATCCACAATCCCAGAGATTAAGATCATGGAAAAGAACTGAAAAAATATATCGGACAGACAACTTCCCATTGACCAACAGTTGCCAAGGTTATCAATCAGCAAGGGTCAGACAATTGTGTACCAGCCCCCCAGCAAAATCCTACAACAGCAATTAGCATAATTCAATTAAGCTGAGCCATCAGCAAAGCATCATAGCTATTAAAGTATTTACATTTTCTGCTATCCATGTCCGGTATTTACATACGGTAACATTACAAATCAACTGTACAATTTTAGACATAAAACTGTACATCAGCATTAGCCATCAACATAGTCATAAAGAGCAAATTCAATCTTCAATCTTCAGCGCCAAGGGGACTGTACATAACCCTGCACAATGAGATCACCCCCAAATTAAATGAAAATTCTGCAACTATACCCCAGATTAGTAGAATTATAATTAGAAAAGATAACTTTACAACATAGAAAAGTACATTCAAATAAAAATGCACACATTCCTTCAAACACCCACATTTATTTACAGTGTTAGTCACAGTATGCGTGCTATTGATGTATTTTGATATTTACTATTATAGATACTTTACTTTCATGCATTCAAGTAGCGATACCATTGCATATACCCTTAACTCCCATTCATTACCACTGCGACATAATTCGATGTAATGTTTCTTTGAGAAACTTAAACATATGAATTATGCATGCATTTGAGGCAGGATATTTCAAACAGAAGCACTATGCATTCCGTTCATTTACTACACACACAAATATCAAAGAATCTCCACAAAGGAGCAGAATCACCAATAAATTCGTGTCAAAGGTAGGAAACAGGAACATCTAGTATGTCTAGAACAGCATTCCAAAGGATGCACAGAAGTCACACACCAGAGATATCATCATGATTGAAAGAGAGTCACAGTTGCAAGATAACCATTCTTCATGACCTGCAAACAAGCAAAATATATTAAGCCAACATTGTTTATAATATCAGTCCAGGAACTAAGCTTTGTTGTAAAGACTTCAAATATAAAATATCATATACCAATTTCAAAATAATCACCTCAAAGGCAACATTCTGGTAGCCATACACAAAAGTAGATCCAAAAGGGTTGCTTGTGGAGCCTTGAGTCTGGATAGCTGCCCGACCACAGTCCCCCAGGATCTCCTGCAACATAATGTTAGAAATATCCCACTTGATATCAAAGCATAAACAGCAACTAACAAAATGGGAAATCGGATAATTGGAGGTGCAAACACATCGAATTTCAAAGAAGACATGCAAAAGTATAAGAAGTTTCCCAGTCAAAACAATGTAAAATATCCCAAAAGAAAGAGCAAGCACTTTTTGCAAATAAGCAAATATATATTAAGCTGCCAATCAGTAGGGCCAGACACAGAATATGAACTAAAAGTCAAATCACCTTAACTTGTTCCCATTTTGTGCTTGGTGTGATCATTCGTTTAGCAGTGCCCTCACCTTGATGAAAAGACCCACCAACTGCAAGAAGTTTAATTTTAACAACAAGAAAATAGTTGTGAAAATGAATTGGAAAAAATGAAACAAAATCTTGTACTGGAAATTACTCACAATCGGAACCATAGATAACAAAATTGCACTTCATGTAGGAATTGAAATCTGCATGCCCAGGATAGTTGGTATGCAAGACAAACTTCTTAATCTTATGGGTCTGAAAAATCAGCACAAGTCTAAGAGCTTTTCCACACCAATTCAATGCATTTAAAACAATCTAAAAGGTACAGAAAAACCAAACAGAATACATAACCTGCCCATCAAACAATATGTCCAACCCACGAGTGAAGTAATTGTAAAAGTAATCCACACAGAGAGTTGTTCGTGGCCGAGGATCTGAAGCAGAGTGAATCACCATTTGATCTACCTGTAAATTAAAAAAATCAATGTTAAACCTGACAGTAAAAGACCTAACAATCTATTACAAGTAACGACACCACTTGATCACACCTGCTTCTGATGGATTCCACAAGGTCGACCTAATTCAGTCCATACATCCTACATTTACAGATGAAAATTTAGAGAAACAAATTGAAAAGTATTGATAAGCCAGCAGCCAACGTAATTGACAGGTAAGAAACATCCAACTTCTATTGTAAAATGAATTAGACAAGAGAGACGAGGTACAACCAATCATGCCATGAAGAAATAGTTATGCCCCTATCTTACCTGTGGTGACGCACCAAAAGGAATATGCTGTCCTCCAACAGTGAACCATATTTCTTCCCCTAGCTGAACCACAAAATAGAAAGGGTCAGGTTTCAATTCTGCAGGAACCCTACAATCTTCAATACTCTAAACCAACCACCTTATACTGACAATAAATACTTGACAAGTTACATGATTTCAGGGCTGGTAACAGAATCCAAGGTAGCATATTCCTCACAATTTTCAATTTTGAAACATTTATATCCCTAATAAAGAAACTATAGGATTTGAACACTTGTCAAGCCATGCCGAAGTAGCAGAACAACAGGCTCATGAAGCAAGCCATGTCCTGTCCAGAGTCCTTGTGAAACAAGTTAATTAAGAAGTCTGCATGATGGTTTAATTCTTTCTTGGTAGGAAACCATCTGAAGGGCATTATTTCAAGAAGACAAATGAAGTAAGTACATCCAAACATAATTTCCAATTAATTCTTAAAGATGAAGCAAATTGAGGAGAATAAAAGACCATGCCTCCAACCAAGTGTGGAGAAGACGTACAGCAGACAAGCAAATGCTGGTCACAGTTGAGTACAAACCTTAACATGAACTGCTTCCATGTAAAGGCTTCCAGCAGCTAATGGAGGAGCACAAGCCTTGTCCATCAAGGCTCCCACACCAACCTTACTGTCTGTAGAACTATCATATATTGAGACACGGCATGTCACAGGAGTTGTGCCATCTGGAAACTCCAACGGCAGCTCCGCTTTTACAATAAAGAGCAGAAAATATCTTATAAGCTAATATAAATTGATGAATCTGGAAATCTTCAAAGAAGAAGTTACAATGAAGCACCTTCTCTTTCATGACAACACTCTGTATATTGTGATGGAATAGGGAAAGCAAAAGATAATCCCTGAAAAGTGCTACCAGATATCACCCACAGAAAGATTTTCCAAGTAAAAGTCAAAAAGACAAAACTTGTTGCGCAAAGAAAAAGGGAAAAATGCAAGTAATAGCTTAACATACGGGGTAAAATAAAGTATATATGCCTCGTCCTTTGTCATAAATTCCAGGAAATGTTGGCCCAAATAGAGCATAGACAGCAACAAAAGTAGCTAGAGTAGATGGTCCACTGAAAGAAAAGATGAGCATCAGAAAAGCAGTTCAGAGAGCTGGGGGAAAGGAGGGGTTGGAGTAGGGTGAGGTAAGAGTGGGCTTAGTCTTACCCTATCAGTGAAGTGGCATAGCGCATTTGAAGGCGTTTGACATCAAAAATCTCAATGAGGCGTAGTCTCTGAGAAAGATTACGTCTATTGTCAACAACTAGAGAAAATACCTAAACATTAGATGCACAACATACACAAGTTGGACAATCGGGTCACAAGTTGATTCAGACTAAATTTCACATCTCGTGTCCATAGACATGTGCAATTACATGCAGATAGTAATAGGCAATCTTAATGGGTACATTAACTAATTTTATTAGAAGAGATTAAGGAAATCTATAAGAAAAATCATAAATAGCAAAAGGAACCCTATTTAATTTACAGTTGTTTAACCTGTTTAGCTGTACATAATTGCAGCTCACCAGCCTACAAGACGTAAAGAAAATTTTAAACTGATTTCTGGAGCAACCCCATCATTGCACCAAAATGGGTCTAGAATTGGGGTTACAAAGAACACATGTATCATAACTTTAAAAAATGTCTGCTTATTTTCTTAGTCCCTTTACTAAGTATTGAAAAATCTACTTCACATATCAACCCGACTACATGGCTAACAAGGGATATTAATTTGTTTTTATCTCTGAATAGGATAAAGAATCTAAAACAAAATCCTAGACATCTTGTCCACTGATAAACTGCTAAACAACAGGAATCACAAGGTTTAGGCCACCCAAGATAAAGGGAAAAGGCGTAGAAGATACCGATAGTACCAATTAATTCCTCATATCTCATTTCCAAGGAATGTTAATAGATCTATAGTAGTATTAGTTTTTCCTTTTTTCATGTCATTCCCATTAACAGCATATTCCAACAATTTGGTGGGCTTGGCACAAACAAGAACGGTTCCAAAATTAAGCCATTAACCAGAAGAATTGAAAGGAATACCTGCGACCAAGG